ATAAGAAAAATCCCAAGAGGACGAACTCCTAAGTGGTTCAAAATAATTACACAAGCAATAAGCAAAGTGACATCTCCAACCTTTATACTCATAAATCCTAATCCATTTACATGGTTACCAGCAAATAATTCCTCAAAATGGATAATTACATCCTACCAAATATTTAGAAAAATAATCTCCTCTAGAGACAACTCATTCAAAATTCAACATTGGAACTTAAATCCTACAAATAATATCCTCACCCCTTGTAATCACTGCCCCCTTCATGACCGTACAATGATGCTACCTTCCAAATTCAAGTTTCATCAAAACATGTTTGGCATGGAAACTTAACCAACTTATTAACTTTACCACTCATACTCATTTCAAATGGCTTAGACCTTCAACCAACACGCTGAGGATATATGGAAAACATACCTATCTATATCCAATGCAACAGAACTCAGAACACAACTAATCGTCAAGCCCTCTAAGGACACTCCCCCTAAGCCGATAGCTACAATTTCACTAAATAACGATCACACAAAAATCGTAATGCAAAACAATTTTTGGCCAAGTCCCACCAAGATTGCTATAACTGCATTATCTCTTAAACCGTTTCTCCTGCAAATCTGCCCTGAAATTTTTTTTAAAAAATTGTTTTTACAATATATCATGATCCAGCGATAATAATTTAATGATTTTGGTACCATTCGATTCGTCTCGATGAGACGATTCGAATGGTGTCAAAACTATCAAAATTCATTCATTAGTTCGAGAGATATTTGTAAAAAGAAATTTGAAACGCAGCTATACAGAAATTTAAGCTTTCTGCGCTACAGATGGTTTTTTGCAAATATATCACGTTCTAGTGATTCGATTTTGACAATTTTGACACCATTATAACCGTCTCGTCGAGACGAGTCGAATGGTATTAAAATCATTAAATTATGATCGCTAGATCCTAACATATTACTCATTTAAATAATCGTTACCCATTTAAATAATCGTTACCCTTAAACCGTTTCTTCTGCAAATCTGCCCTGAAATATTGAATTTTGATTGGTAACTCACGTAGCACTTGTATTACATAAATTAAGGTTTTAAAAAATCCCGGTTTTAAAATCCCGAATTTACTTTATTTAGTAATTCATAAATTTCTTGTATTGTACAGAAATTATGATCATCAGATCGATACTTAGGTTCGATACTGGTTCGATCATCTTCTACGCTAGCCTTAATTAAAATTGAATTTTTTCCTATTTATTTATCTTATTAGTTTTTTTTTTTTTGTACATCCTTATTTTTAGATGCGATATGAGTGCAGATAGTGAAGATAACGATTTATATACCTTTGAGCTTACACGAATTGTTACCAACATTGAAAATGAAATCACAATTGATGATCCTACAGATGGTGATACGGAAGAAGATAAAACTGATGAAGAATCCGAAAATCAAACTGATGAAGAATCTGAATATGAAACCACAAATAGCAAGAACAAAAAAAAAAGGGGGAAAGAAACTAACAATAATCGAACAAAAAAAAAAAAAGTATCCCAATTGCTTGACTTACCATCACCACCATTATTTCAAAAATTTCAACATACAAAACCGCATCATTCCTCTCAAATAAAATTATCCAATAAATTAGCTGTTGAAGTTACGCCACATGCTATTTTTCGTTTATTTTTTTCTGATTTACAACTAGATACTATCGTTAAAAATACAAATTACTATGCTGTAGCAAAATCAGCAGGTAAAGGGCGTGAGTGGGTTTCTTTAACGGTAGAAGAATTATTGATATGGTTAGCTCTAGTGATTTACATGGGCGTTTTTAAACAGCCAAGTAAGGAGGATTATTGGAAAACAGATTGGAAGTATCCGCAACATAAAATTACTAAATATATGACATTGGTTCGATTCGAACAAGTTATGTCATTTATTTTTAAATATTTTTAAATTTTTATTTAAAAATTTATTTTAATTTTAATTTTTTTAAAAAAGATAAAACGCTATCTTTATATTTCTAAAATAGAAATGAAAATGTCACGATTACCATGGTATTCAAAAGTTGAACCTTTAGCCACGCATATCCGGGAAGTTTCAAAGTCGATTTACTTACCAAAATCACAGGTTTCAATCGACGAAATGATTGCTAGATTTAAAGGCAGGAGTAGTCATACTGTACGAATTAAAAATAAGCCCACACCAGAAGGATATAAAATACTTTCATTATGCGATTCAGGATATACTTACTGTTTTATTTTCACCTCCCGTATTGAACCTAATTCTGAAATAAATCTGATTCCGAATATTAATAAGGCTGGTTGTCATGTATATCATCTAATATCTCAACTTCCGAAGAACAAGGCATTTGATATCTACATGGATAATTTTTTTACAAGCATAAATCTGTTTAGTTATATGCGAAAAAATGGGTATGGTGGTTGTGAAACAGTAAGAAGTAATACCTTGAAATTTCCTGCGGTTTTAAAAATTAAAAAATCAAAAAAGATAGAATGGGATACACTTTCCGGTGCTGTTGTAGACGATGTATTAGTTGTGTTCTGGATGGATAATGGCCCTGTGAATATGTTAACAACCATACATGAAATTTCAGGTGAAGGATGTCGAATAGAAAGAGAAAGACGACGACCACGAACAACTAGTACTAATGCCAATAAAGTACGTAGTGTGTTTGGCGATGAAAGTAAAAAAATTCTACCCATACCTGCTGTAATTGATGATTACAACCATCATATGGATGGTGTAGATATAGCCGACCAATTAAGGGGCTATTATGGTACACAAATACCTGTACGTCGCACTTGGATGCCATTATTTTTTTGGCTCCTCGATACTAGTATTGTTAATACCTTCCTTATTTCAAAGGCTCTTAACTTGGTCATAGCACACAAAGATTTAAGAATAAATTTAGCATGGAAATTAGTCGAAGAATCATTGGAAATGAATGAAAAATCACGTACACGAAAAAAAAAGGCCGAAATTCAATCAGAATTACATAATCAAAGTCCGGAACAAAAGTCTTTTTATGTTACAAAAAAATTTGACTTACCCATTACACGATTACAACCACAAAGCCATTATCCGGAATGGCGTGAAGACAGAGGTTCTTGTATTTGGTGCCGGTTTCAATACATGGAAAAGCATGGAAAGCATGATAAGAATTCACCGCAAAGTTATTTATGGTGTACAGTGTGTAACGTTCCTTTATGTATTAATAAGCAACGCCCAAATTGCTTTATTAAGTATCATGAACATAAATAAATTAAATAGCAACGCCCAAATTGCTTTATTGAGTTCTATAAACATAAATAAATTAAATAAATAGTATTTTCATACGTATTCATGACATATTGTATCATTTATGTTATAATTTTTTGTATACTTTTAGTACATGTGATTATCGGAAAATTTCAGGGCAGATCTGCCCTGAATTTCAAATGGTTTAAGAGATACACTTTAATTACTATTATGCCCCATCATACACGAATACAATTGAACACAAACTCAACTATCTTACTTAAAATTTTACCAACTGTTCTAGATACCTCTCCAATAATATCATACACAATCTGTAAAGATCATAATATAGGATACATAACTGTTATTAGAGCTGCAATCCTCGCCAAAGATATATCTATTATGAGCACTTATACCCAAATGAACAATACAACAATAATACAAACCTCTATCAGAAAACTCAAAATAGATCCATCAATACTCCTCTACAACATATACCTCCTCAGATTTAACCACCTGTTAACATCCGACAACATAAAACAAACTATTAAAAATTTACATACTGCAACAAATATCGACAACTGGTTTACACAAAACTGAATCCAACACTAGTTCACAATCACATCAAAAATACAGTGGCAACCTACCTTCCAATATCTGAGACATGACAATAAACCTTGTACAAGACATACCAATTCTAAACTATCCCAAATTAAAAATTTTAAATTTAAAATCATAATAAACGAATTACCAAATCAATTAAACTTATTCAAACGGCACCCAAATACCCACACATCACCAAGTTGTAAATGATGCAAAAATGCAACCGAAACAGACCAGCACTGGCTTACCTGCCAATATAATAGTACAACACTTCAAACCATAATTATGGATAAACTAACATA